CATATAAAAACAACTTCTAAAAATAAAGTAAATCGAAAGCAAAATTAATTTCCATCATTTTCTCGCAATGACCTTGATCTTATCGACTTTATTTTGAAGTTCTTGACCTACTCAACAACCTAATTTCTCTTTTGATATTCATCTTAAAATTTTGCTCGGGGTTGCCGTTACTGATTGAGTCCGGACTCATCTTCAATTATAACAGGGAAACAGCCCACGGCGTTGCCAGATTTTCCAATTGTTTTCTAAATAATTATACGGAGTGATCTGTAATAAATATACTACACTCAAGTTTGCAAGAGCCTATGTTTTAGAAAGCACACAAATCTTTTAAATTCTTGTTGATTGGTTTGGTTTAGTTTGGTTTATCTGTCACAAATGTTTTCAAGGAGATAATAAATACAGTTCCATCCAATTCCCTTATATCGAAGCTAACGCCATGCATGAGAATATAAAAAAAAACTTATAGCAACAGTCCAAAATTAAGTGACTTACAGATCAAAATTAAGTGACTCCAACTTGGATATGTGGAGACATTCGATACCAACATGTCTACAAGACTTATGGGTATCGAATGTAATGAACTGACTGACACTCTTGTAAGAAAAGGGAACCAGTCCCTCCAACAGGCTTGAACTCTCTGTTGGAACTAAAATCCTCCTCAAGAAGGAAAGAACAAGCGTCAGTGCCAAATGAGCAACCATATAAACGCCCAGTTTGTAGATATTAGTTTAGTTTTCAATCTTCTGATGATGGTGTTTTGTGGAACTTATCGAGTTCAGTGTTTAAAAGTACAGTTGGTAGCCGGAGAGCTGGCGACATATTTAGAGAACATATTTTAGGCAAGGTAGAATAACAAAAAAAAATAAAGTTTAATGACTTGTGAACCCAGAATCCTAAGTCTGGCTGGGGGGTTGGGGGTATTTCGCTACTGCGCAACCCATAACATTTGCAAAAAAATGAATCTAAAAAACATTCTTTAGGCAACTTGAAATTTGTTTATTCTTAAATTTTAGCATCTATTTAACCTAGAAATAAGTATGCCAGATTTTTTTTCGGGTTTAAAGTATAACCCGACCATTCCAAATATGTTTAATTATTATACCTGGTAAACATACTTTAGGCATTCTAAAATTTTTACAGCGTGTTTATTAGATGATATTAAAAAATATGTGTTAATTGCCAGACGAATTCAACGGGTTTTAATACTTGCCTGATGCGAATAAAGATTTTAAATGAGCGCGACAAGAAAGTTTTATGAGTATCTATAAGCGCGAGAAAGATAGTTTATTGAGACCCGTCGCCAGCCGATGCGGCTGACGTGACACTATTTTGGAGTACTTCAAATTTTCATAAAAACAATTTTTTTTCGGTTTCATTTCAATTATTTGCAGGCTTTTAATTCAGAGATTATTTTGTTTGAATTAAGTTACCATGTACAAATATGTATTTATAAATTAAATATTGATGTGCATAGTGTAAATAGTTTAGAATAATTACTGCAAATAAATATTTTAGTAACTACTAATTTCGCTACTAACTATACTAAATCACAATGGATAAAAAAAAATTTAAGTTGTGTAGTTTGTAAAAAAGTTACTAGTGACAAAGTTATTGTTTTAGATGAAGGCAGACTACAAAAATGCAAAGAATTTTTAAAAGTGCGCCAACAATATGGTTTAAAATTTAAAGAAGTGGTTTTAAAAAATTAATAATAATATAATATGTCACACAAAAGTATAATAATAAATAATTATACTTTTGTGACGTTTGAAAAAAAGATATTTTATATTATACTAATTTTTAAATAATTATTCGTCTTTTTATTCTTTCAGATACAAAATACTTAAATTAAAATGTCTTCTTATTGAAAGGATTTCAATCATACATTTTTATTAAAAAATGTTTCATTTTATTTATTCAATATTAGTTTTTTTTTAATTTTACGACTCCAAAATGCTGTTACGTCAGCTGCATCAATAAACTATCTTTCTCGCGCTTATAGATACTCATAAGACTTTCTTATCGCGCTCATTTAAAATCTTTATTCGCGTCAGGCAAGTATTAAATCCCATTGAATTCGTTTGGAAATTAACACATATTTTTTTTGATATCATCTAATAAACACGCTGTAAAAATTTTAGAATGCCTAAATTATGTTTTCCAGGTATAATAATTAAACATATTTGGAATGGTCGGGTTACACTTTAAACCCGAAAAAAAAGTCTGGCATACTTATTTGTAGGTTAAATAGATGCTAAAATTTAAGAATAAACAAATTTCAAGTTGCGTAAAGAATGTTTTTTGGATTTATTTTTTTGCAAATGTTATGGGTTGCGCAGTAGCGAAATACCCCCATCCTCCAGGATTCTGGGTTCACCAGTTAATAAACTATACATTTCTAGTTATTCTAGCTGGCCTAAAATATGTTCTCTAAATATGTCGTCAGCTCCTAGGCTTTATCGAGATCTACCAGTTCTGAAAATATTTGCACTTATTTAACACTCACCCTGTATATGTCTAAAGGTGATAACATCCTTTCAAGTTTCAATACGTTTTAAAATAGGCAGAACATAAATTAAGGCAAAAATAATTTCTCGGAATAAAGGAATATCCGGCAACCGTGCCACGACTCTGCCATCCCAATTAGCCGACGCGGGGTGCTACGGCGTCTAATTATTTTGCCCATCGCCCCCGTTCCGAGGGGCTGGGGTGGGCAAGGTCAAGGCCGGCGGAGCCGAAGCGCGGTCTTCGACCCTTCAATTAAAAATCTTATTGGGGTGAGCGTCGCCGGTCGGCAACTTCTTTACTTTTCTTTTAACGCCGAGCACCACTCGGATAGCTTTTTCAGTTTTCTATTGTCGCTGAAAATACTATATATATATATAATATATATATATATATATATATATATATATATATATATATATATATATATATATATATATATATATATATATATATATATATATATATATATATATATATATATATATATATATACAGGGTGGCGCACCTCATTCGCCTCGGTTGATTATACGAAAACGGAAAGATGTAGAAACAAAATATTTTATGGGTATATATGGGAGGGCAATGTGCACAATTTAAAATTATTTTGAAATATACAGGGTGTCTCAGAACTAAGATTCATACCAAAGTTATATTTTTTCTTATGGAACACCCGGTATTTTATTTCAATTTTGGATTCTTGGGCCCAAAAAAGGCATTTATTATAAGGGTTAAATGTGTATAAAATCACTGGTTTTAGAGATATTTAAAGATATTTAAATATGCATGCTATAAGAGAATTGATTATCAACACCCTGCAATTAGAATTAATTCTTGTGCTGAGTTTAAAGGTAAAGAAATAAACTTTACTGAAAAATGTTATTGTTTCCTTAAATTTATACAGGGGTACCAAAAATTAGTGATCTATTTTACGGATTTATTTTGCATAAAAACTTTGTTATTTCAAATGCAACACCCTATATTTTTTTAAATAAATCGAAGCAGATTCAAATGCTCTTTCAAACTATATTAGGGTTTCCTATACCTATCTATCTCATATTTTGAATAAAAAGCGATTTTTAAATAAAATGGCAATCAAGATGGCTGGTATCGCCATGGCAATTTTCTAGTGACAGTAACTATTTTCAAAATCGACATTAGTGTATGGACATTATTATTTAAACAGTTTACTAAAATTTACCCACAATATTTTAATAAGTAAGTATTCTTTATTTTATGACGAAAAATAAAGCCATATCTGCTGGTGGAACGAATGGATATAATTACTAGTGATTTTGTTTTGTGAGGAAGATTATTTCTTGGCCTCATGAGCTAATGCTCAAAGATATCCAAATAGGAATCTTCCTGATAAGATTTCCTTTGAAAAACTACTTGTCTTATTTCCTATTTCGCAGAATTGGTAGTGTAGTTTATAAAAACCCTATTAGGTAGAAACCTGTCTTTGGAAGTGAAGAAACTGAATTAACCGTAATTGGCTCTTTTATAAAAGAGTCATATATCTACAAGTTATCGTAAAATAAAACAAAGAATTACTTCTTACTAACTGTCACTAGAAAATTGTCATGGCGATACTAGCCATCTTGATTGCCATTTTATTTAAAAATCTCTTTTTATTCAAAATCTGAGATAGATAGGTATAGGAAACCCTAATATAGTTTGAAAGAGCATTTGAATCTGCTTCGATTTATTTAAAAAAATACAGGGTGTTGCATTTGAAATAACAAAGTTTTTATGTAAAATAAATCCTTAAAATAAATAACTAATTTTTGGTACCCCTGTATAAATTTAAGAAAGCAATAACATTTTTCAGTAAAGTTTATTTCTTTACCTTTAAACTCAGCGCAAGAATTAATTCTGAAAAGGAATGTACAGGGTACTGATAATCAATTCTCTTGTAGCATGCATATTTAAATATCTTTAAATATCTCAAAAAAACAATAATTTTAAACATATTTAACCCTTATAATAAATGCCTTTTTTTGAGCCTAAGGATCCAAAAATGAAATAAAATACCGAGTGTTCCATAAGAAAAAATATATCTTTGGTATGGATCTTAGTTCTGAGACACCCTGTATATTTCAAAATAATTTTAAATTGTGCACATTGACTCCCCACATATACCCATAAAATATTTTTGCTCTACATCTTTCCGTTTTCGTATAATCAACCCAGGCGAATGAGGTGCGCCACCCTGTATATACATATATATATATATATATATATATATATATATATATATATATATATATATATATATATATATATATATATATATATATATATATATATATATATATATATATATATATATATATATATATATATATATATATTATATATATATATATATATATATATATATATATAATCAAAAACCTTTCTACTCGAAGGTGTAAGATATACTAAATTAAATAAATTCACTTAATTGCTACACTATACACAAATTGTTTTAATTTATTTTTTTCTCTTGCTCAACTTTTGGCTTCTGTTAATGTTAGTCCTCTATCCTGCACTATCTTCTCTATTGTGTCATTCCATGTTTTAGTTGGTCTTCCCCTTGGTCTCTTTCCCTGCATTTTAGCTTCCCACACGCCTTTTTCTGGTATGTCGTTGTTCATTCTGATCAAATGTCCATTCCACCTAAGCTGACATTGCTCAATTTGATTCAGGATCGAATCTACTTTTAGTTCCTCTCTTATAAAGCTGTTCCTTAGTCTATCTTTCCTTGTTAACCCAGGTACTCTTCGTAGTCGTAGATATAACATGTTCATTCTTTGGATCTTACTCTTCAATCTTTTAGTTAATACCCAACTTTCACAGCCAAAAATCAACGTCGATATGAATACTGTCTTGTATACACTCATCTTCACTGCTCTCGAGATTTCTTTTTTATTTAAGAAACTGTTCTTAATGGCTTGATACAAGCGGGACGTGTTGCCAATTCTTTCGATGATTTCCGTCTCTTGTTCTCCTGTGTTGCTGATGTTTACTCCCAAATGTTTGTATGAATCGACTTGTTCCAAATTGATGTCATTTATCTCTATGTTCATATTGCCTTCTGTTTTACCTAAAATCATAACTTTTGTTTTAATCTCATTAATCACATTTTTAGATTTCTCTCTCTAAGAGCTTCCAGCCAGATTTCTAAATTTCTTTTCATATAAGTTTTTAAAATTATAGTGAGTTCTACAGGGTGTCCCATAAAAAAAAATTTCCAAATGTCGTGTCCCATAAAAAAGTTACACATCAAAGTTGTTTTTTTTGTAATGGAACACCCTATATATTAATTGATTTTCGGATTCTAGGAAAAAAATAAAAGTGAGTTTCGTTAGAGAAAGTATATGACTAAAATGTAAGGTTTTTGATATATTTAACATTTTCTAAAAATGAAGAACAATTTTTAAATTTCAATAAAAGCTATCTAAATTGGAATTTACTCGGTATAACCTAATATGTAGTTAAAATCCAAAGAGAACGACAGTTTGTATTTAAATTAAATTTTAGGAGCATATTATGTAGGTTAGTTTAGAGCATTTTTTAAAATTATAGTGAGTACAGGGTGTCCCATAAAAAAGTTACACATTAAAGTTGTTTTTTTTGTAATGGAACACCCTATATATTAATTGATTTTCGGATTTTAGGAAAAAAATAAAAGCGAGTTTCGTTAGAGAAGTATATGCCCAAAATGTAAGGTTTTTGATATATTTAACATTTTTTTTTAAATGAAGAGCAAGTTTTAAATTTCAATAAAAGCTATCTAAATGGAATTTATCCGGTATAACCTATGTAGCTAAAATAACCATTGTACTCTAAATGAAATTACAACTTGACCCAAAAAGTTAGACAGGGTGAGACAAAATTAATATTGAACCTGGGTCACATTTAAAAGCAAGTTACTCTTTTATTTTCAATAGAACCCAGTATATTATTCCGATATTCAATGAGGAATTTATGTCTCTTTAAAATACCAGTAAGGTTACCTACCCCTCAAACAAATATTTTCCTAGATTTTAATTTTTATGATTTAGTGACAGTAGATCTTTATTATTTGGTAAAATCTAGGTGGCTGTGATATGTCTGACGTTACTTCAACATACTAGATGTCAAATTAGTTTAACTTTAACAACTAGTTATCATTTTGTGTCACTTAAAACAAAAATAATTCTCCGAAATTCGCTGAAAATGGGAACTTATCCTATATAAGAGAAAATTGATAATATGGTCCTATTAATTGGGGACTGCAGTGTGCATTCACCAATTAATAAAATACTTAAATGCTCTTGATTTATCTAGACTTGACTTTTATCGGGTTATGCTAAAGACAGTGTTTTCAAAACTCGACCACCTATTGTTGACAACATGAAAGAAATGTGGGTGCGACATATTCAAGCAGTTCCACCATTCCACTAAACAAGTAAGTAAACAAAGTGCTCATTACATAATCAAAAAATTAAAGAGGCGTATACTATAAGATGATAAAATATAATTTGCAATATTACTGGTATATTTTTTTAATCAACTAGTGATTAGATGTTTGATGAGCATCTTCTAAATTATAATTATGTACCTTTAAAATATTTCGTTATAGTCGAAATAGCCCCAATTATAACCCAACTAGTAAAACCGGTGCATAAAACTATGCTCGCTACCGTAATTGAACTACGGTAGCGAGAAAACTCTAAAAGTTTTTTTAGCTGGAATATTAAATTGTAATACCAGTTAGATCTTCTGAAGATATCTAAATATTTACTTTTTTATTTTTGGAATTTTCTTAAATAATTATTCTTCCTGACACTTTTAGGAAGGTTTACAATTACCGGTTCTCTTTGTAATCCTAATATATCATCGATATATGAATCATATGAATCACTTTGAATATAGATAAAGTGCATATCACTTTACATATGGTTTAATAAAGAATTATAAGATTAAACGAACTTACCTAAGTGAAGTTTGATCATAATTATATGATCGCCTCTTCCGAATAGATCACTATGTAGTTCACTCTCTCGCCGTAAGGTGGAGCCACGCATTTTAAAGCCAAACAAAAAATTGTGTCGATCCAGACCCTTTCCCGGAATATATCACGCCGGGCCGTCTTCAATTCATTACTTCAAAGCCGGAACTGTTGCGATAGAATAGATCACGGGTTTCGGGAGGGAGGGAGTGATCTATTCGGAAGAGGCGGTCATATAATTATGATCAAACTTCACTTAGGTAAGTTCGTTTAATCTTATAATTATATTTCCCGCCTCTTCCTCTTAGATCACTATGTAGATGTTCAAAGTAGAGCAACAGTTTTAGTAAGAATAAATAAAACCTATCACTAGAAAACTTTATTTATTCTGCAAACAACCAAAAAAAAATATATATATATAAATTTTAAAGAAAAAAAAAACTTCCCTAGATTATACTTTTCTAGGCCAACTTTTACGCACTAAATGATTATACCCTTATTATACTTAATAACAAATTGTTCTTAATAGTAAATTTAAAAATATATATTTATATTTAGCGATTGTAAATACTATATCTAGGAATTTTAAGGTTGTATTGCTTATTGCATAACAATTATTGCTTGCGCAAAATTATCAGGGGTCATTAGAGGCCTGTTAAAAAATTTTGCAAACACTTGAGATGACTCGTGCCACCCTGCTATATTACGTATCGTATCGATGTTAATACCCCTGTTAATAGCTGCCAATATGGAGGCGTGTCTGGTACTATGCGCCGTAAAAACAGATGTATCAAATCCACTCTTATTTAAGACCCAACGAATCCACCGACTGATAGACTGAGCGGTTGCTTCTTTATGGGGTTTTTTGTAAGTGAGGAAAAGTCGTGAAAGTTTGTCTGTTTGCCTTAAAACAGCGGTTCTGTTTAAGGCTGTTTTTTTTTTCTTTTTAGAAGAAAGGGCAAAATTAATAAGAGTTGGTATTTATTAGGAGCTGTTGTCTTAATTCTGGCTGGAACTTTTATTTCTATTTCTATTTTTTTTTCCGATATTTGGATGTTTCGAACTTCTATTAATGAAAATGTTTGTACTCTGTGTGCCGTTATCAGGGCCATTACCTTCGATAATTTACGTGTCAACATTTCTAAACTAATTTTTTCCTTAGGGTAACAAGTCCCTACATAATCTAAAACTAATGTCGGATTCCATGTTACATGGTATTTGGGTAAAGGTGGTCGTTTTTGGTAAAATTTGGTAACACCCTTAAAAATCTTTTAATATATTAGCAATGCAAGAGAAAAGCGTACAGTGTTTACCGCTATAAATGTTTACCGCTTTAGCTTTTTTTTTTTTTTTTTTTTTTTGTGACTGCAAAAATACCACCATATTTTAACCCATTTCCATATTGTTTTATCGATGACTCAATGTCAAAGATGATATTAACACCTCAATAGCCTCTTCTGGAACCTTTCTAACGATCATGTCCTGCCGGATAAGAGACCTGCTTCCAGGGAAAGGTTGGTATATAGAGCATGGGGTGTCCTATCAATGGATAGTTCTAATTGAGCATTAGGAGCAAAAATTAATGACTTTTTGATAAGTAGAGACTAAAATAACGGACCAGAGTTGACTTGGCCACCAGGGAACCACTACGATACCCTCATCTTTATCTGCAATTATTTTTTGCAGGGCAGTAATTATTTTAAGCATGAAAAGTATAGTTTGCTCATGATACTATAAATGCTCAATAATTTCAGCCCTAGGATCTTTAAACTAAGAAGCAAATCTGCTACACTTTGCATTAATTCTGGAAGCAAATAAGTCAACTTCCGCGTTCGGAAATTACGGCAAATATTTTTGAATCATAATTTGCAATCGTAAATCCAGTTTCAGTATCTAGGCAACGAGATTCTTTATCAGCACTAAAATTTTCTTGTGACTTTATATAAGAAGCAAAGATAACTAAGTTGCGCTGTTCACACCACTCCCACATTTCCCTAGCAAGACTGTTAAGATGTGGGAACTGAATGCCACCCATTCTGTATATATATGAGATAGCCATAGCGTAGTATTGTCTATCCGCAATAATATTTCACAATTAACAAGATTATTCGCAAAACATTTTAGCCTAAAAAATGTCGCTAAAAACTCTCGCTAAAAATAATTTATGATTACTTTTATCTTTTTTAGACCAAAAAACCCCGACACTTATCCCCATTACAATAAACGCCCCAACCCGTGAGGGAACTATGACTGAAATTTCTAGTTTACGGGTAAAACTATGAAAAGTATTTTTGCTAGAAAGGTGATCTTTCCACCACATAAGGTCAGTTAAAATATCAGAAGTAATTTTTATTCCATGTTTATAAGACCCATATGACTTTTTTAGAGCTAAATTTCCTCTTTCGCTATTTTTGGTATAAAGCCAATCATATTTGATATCTGGGCCAGCCGCAATAAAATCCCGATCAATTTCGCAAACTCTCGAATGGTAAGTTTAACACTATTTTCAACTATCAACAGTATTAAAAAAAAACTAAGTATTTAATATTAATACATGGAACAAAAACGCTCTTCTCCGAATTAATTATAAATCCTAAATCTAGCAAAATTTGCTTTGTAACAGTTATATTTAATAGACATTCTTCATAAGTACGGCCCATTAATAGAAAGTCATCAATATATAACACCGATAAAACTTCGTTCCCGTAAGTAATATAATACGGGTTTCAGCAGTTTGGTAAATAGATAAGGCGCTGTATTAAGGCCGAAAGGAAAACAAGTGTATTCATAAAGTTGCCCAGGAAACACAAATCTCAGATATTTACGATGCCGTTGATGTATAGGGATCAAGTGGTATGCACCCTTGAGGTCTAAAGATTCAAGAAACATATTTTTAGTTAAGAGTTTTTTGACCATTTTATGATCCTCTAATTTAAAATGTTCTGTTTTAATAAACTTGTTGAAGGTTTTTAGATTTAAAATTAATCTAAATGATCCGTTCGGCTTGGGTGTTAACAAAAAATATTTGAAACAAACTGATTGCTTTTGGGATTACATCGCTGAGCCATTCAATCAGATCCCTTGTGTGTGCTCCCCCCCCCTTCTTTACGAAATGCTGTTAAAGATTTTCCTATTGCCACTAAAGCGGCTCTCATTTGGTTTTGTCGGTTGCTAGTCTTTGATCTCAATTCTTGTGCTGTTCAGTGGGAACTGCTAGAATTTCTAAATTAAGTTCGGAGCACTTGTTTGAGACTCAGATTATTAGGAGGAGAATAGTTTTTGCACAGGTAGGAGAGCATTTCGGCGTCGAGTCCCTCCTATAATATTTTAAACCAAATTTGAGAGAGAAAGGAGTTTACAACATTTATATACATATAACACATAATTTTTTACTAAACTCGTTAGCATAAAAAAAAACGGTTAAAACATAAAATTATAGGTTGAAATGCAACATCTCAAAACTTGTTGGCGTTAACAAATGCCAAAACTCGTTGGCGTTAACACATGCTAACCTGCAGAAAGAAAAAAAAAATATATATATATATATATATATATATATATATATATATATATATATATATATATATATATATATATATATATATATATATATATAACTTGTATATCTTCAAAATATAGTGAAATAAAGCTGAATAATGAAATATAGTGAAATAAGCTCTGTTCAGCTAGATAATAGAATTTTGACAGACGACGAGAATTTTAAAAATTCTGGATAGCGTAAACCCCTGCCAAAACCTGTTGGTGTTAACACAGGCCACACCAGAACACCTTATCACTGAGTGCGCCGAGACGACAACCATTCGTGCCATGAACTTTGGTACGTCTGATGTCGAGGATGGAGAGCTGGCCTTTGTGGAGCCGTCTCAGATACTGGCTTTTGTTAAAGCCCTGAGACTGTATGATGAGTTATAACTCGTTATAACTCAAGAAAGGGGAACACACAATAGATCTATAAGGTAGCGGTGATTAAATCGCCTCCTAAACATTCCACATCACAGGCCAAAACTCGTTGGCGTTAACATAGGCCAAAACTAGTTGGCGTTGACACAGGCTAAAACACGTTTGCGTTACTACATGCCAAAACTCGTTGGCGTTAACACATGCCAAAACTCGTTAGCGTTAACACAGGCCAAAACTCGTTGGCGTTGACACAGGCTAAAACACGTTGGCGTTACTACATGCCAAAACTCGTTGGGGTTAACAGAGGCCAAAACTTGTTAGCGTTAACACAGGTCAAAACTCGTTGGCGTTAACAATATTAACTGTGCTAACAAATGTAATGTGCTAACAGGTGTAATGTACCAACTCTCTACTATATTAACTATTGCCTATAACGATATACTTATTATATATTCTTAGTCATAATCAACTAGGATTTTAACAATAATTGACATATCACATAGACAAAAACTTTTACTATTCTAGTTAGCAAAAAACACAAAAAGTTATAGAATAAAATTATAGGCTCATGAAATGCCAATATCAAAGCTCGTTAGCATCGTATAAAATTAGAATTTGTGTCAACCAAACCCGTTAAGTAGTACTATCCATTGTTTCCACTTACAACATTGTTAAGCGTAATAGTCTACACGGTGTAAAAAGGAAAATATTTTCAGGTACTCACGTTCCGAATCAGAAGGTCCATAATTTATAAGTCCAAAAGTTATAAATTGATGAGTAACATTGTAAGGCACTGTGTCATCTGTAGTGTAACACTAGTGTTCGAATCCACTGGTTATCACTCGCGTCCGATTTTTTATAAATGACAGACGGTCACGCGACGTGGTTCCACTCACACGCGAAAGAATAATGAATTGAAGACGGCCCGGCGTGATATATTCCGGGAAAGGGTCTGGATCGACACAATTTTTTGTTTGGCTTTAAAATGCGTGGCTCCACCTTACGGCGAGAGAGTGAACTACATAGTGATCTAAGAGGAAGAGGCGGGAAATATAATAACATTATTAACAGCATCAAATTGTTTCAGTATTTCAGTGTTTTCTATAACCTGTTGCTCTCTCCGACCAATTTTGATTTATATTCATTTATCTAATT